GCTCCACACTGAGTGCATGGAATTACTCTTCGAGCAAAGCATAGACACAAGCACCGTGCACCCCATCCCCTCCAGCAACGACCAGCTGTCTCCTGGAGCCAGTATGGACGAGGTAGTGGGTAATAGACAGGTAGACACCTTGTCAAGATGCACATCAAGCGCAGCCACACTGAGGGGGTCAAACAACAGCCACACTTGAAATAAAATTATCAAATAAAATATATCTGTTTAAGCATACGGCTATGCCGACATAACTCATCGCTAGGTTAGCATATGAAGTAACTTGGGTTGCAACGAATCCGCAGCAAGTACAAAATGTCCACAGGTTATTCAAAAGAATGTCGAAGGAATGACGAAGATAGCCACAACTAGCGTAAACAACGAGTGTAAGTTGATAGAAGATTATTCAGGTAGGTAGGACAAACTACATAAAGTGGGATGAAATTTATCCAGCTTAAAAAGTCCTAGTCTAAGTGTAAGTTGCTTTAGCCCAACTGCGGTGGGGAAGCATCATGAATGCAACATCAGCTTTATCCATACAGACAAACAAATCCAGTGTTACTAGTTAACATACTATATTTTTATACAATTGCCGGTCATACCTGTTTGTATTATCATGATCATGCCTTCGCAGACGTGCCCTGCACTGCCGGGGATAAAACATTTATTCGTTTATCTATTTACTTCCATGTTGAATTGTTTTCGTTTCATTACGATATCCTGATTCGTTCAGCCAATGTTAAGAGGACATGCTGAACGCAAATTGTCCGATAATCATGTGGTCCATGAATTTCACTTTAGAGACACTCATCAGCCGCATTGGTTGTTCTGTGTGCATTCTGCGCAGCTTATGAATCCTGTTAGCGTGGTTTGAAGCGAAGGGTTGTGATCACACGTCAGGTCAGGTCAGTTTCCAAAGACGAAAATAGGCTCCTGCCTAGCGTGCGTCCTGTTTCTTTTACCGGAAGGCACACCAGGGTTCCCAGTACTTCGATTTTGCGCTGTCTTCCTTGCCTCTGCAAAAGAAATGAAGCAAGACAATACCAACCTCTGTACTTTCTTGGATCATGGACCTCACAGTCTATTATATTTGCCTATAAATTTACAACAATTCTGGAGAAAGATCTGATTAACACTTATTCAGGCCGTTTTTGAGGACTGTTACAGTAGCACTTTCAAATGAGGCAGAAGGGAGTTTGTTCCAAATATGAACAATACCATTTGCAATGCACTTGGCCCTAATCTCTATCATTACCTTTGATGCTTAATCTTAAGTTCATGCCCCCCTAGGTGGTCGGATGCAGCAAGTTCAAACAACTCGGAGGGCTTGATCCTGCTGGGGCCCTTCATAATCTTGCACGTTTCTATCAGATCATCTCGTACGCTGCGCTGTTCCATAGAGAACCATCCTAGTCCCCTTATTCGTTCGACATATGATTTCCCGCGCTGGCCCTTGATCATCCTAGTCGCCAGTTTCTGGACCCTATCTATGCAGGTCACATCCTTCCTGAGATACGGCGCCCATGCCTGCACACAGTATTCCAGGTGAGGTCGTACCTCCGCCTTATATTTTGGGAGCAAAACCTCTGGCTTGAAGTTGCATAACGTTATCTTGAGGCGGAATAATTCCTGTCGCGCCTTGTTGATGACATACACTTTGCTGAGGTTTTGAGGCTATTCGTCATAATGATACCCAAATCTCGAGCCTCATCAACGGGCCGCAATGTCAGAGTGCCGGCAGTAGTTTGCACTGTAACCCCATCGTTGCTGGAAGACAACTGACATTTACTGGCATTATAGGCACATTCCATGAAGAAGACCATCTCACTACAATGCGAAGGTCTTTTGACAAGGTGCCTTGATCGGGGCTGTTTATCACTTTTACATCGTCTGCAAAGACGTAGCAATGGTTCTTGTGGAGGGGAACCAAATCATTGATATCTAAAAAGAAGAGCAGCTGGCCTAAAACAGAGTCCTGAGGAACACCGCTGTGAGCAGTGCCCTCACTTGAGCAGAAGTCACCGATTCTAACGCGGAAGGTTCTCTTGCAAAGAAATTCTGCTAGCCAGTTCAACAGCTGGGGATGTATACCAAATCATAACAGCTTTTCAAGTAAGATAAGATGGTTGACGGAGTCAAAAGCCTAAGTCTAAATAGCACTTCGACTATGTCATCATCAAGACATTAACTTATCTCATATAAAGGGAACAAAAGGTTAGTAAGGCATAACTGCCGCTTGACGAAGCCGTGCTGCTGCGCTCCTGTTAAGTTATGGACAACTAAGTACCCACAAATCCGATTCCTGACCATATTTGAGCTGGACGCTAGTAAGTCTGACTAGCCTATAATTTTCAAGGGCTGATTTAGAGACTCCTTGTGAATTGGCTACAACAGCTGCCTCTTTCCAATCTTGTGGCAGCCTACCTTCCTGAATTGACATGCTGTACAAATCCAAAACGGGATACTAGTCTATACTAGCAAGTGACTTGATGATAGCAGGATGCACATTATCGGGTCCAGCCGATTCCTAGGCGGTCTAAGTATGTCAAGACAGCGAGTACCTCGGATGCACTTAGTGGGACGTTTGACATTATACTCTCAACTCGGCGACGAGGCTGTGAGGAGATAGGGCAGTCGCTATCTACACGATATACCCTTTGGAAAGTGCGCAGCTATACCTGTGCCTTATACTCATCATCTATAGCGTGACAACCGTACTCCATAATTAAGTTACCGACCCACACCCTCAAGGAAGCCTTCGATTGGACATAATTATAGTATATCCTCGGATTTTTTTGCTTTCTGGGCAAGCCTTAGCTCATAACGGTATTTAGCATGTGTCTGCAGTTTGACTGCCATGTTCCGGGATCTTTTGTAGCATAACCAACGATGAAATCCTCCGGTTTCCTGAAACTTTTTCCAGGAATCGTTGCGATTCTTTATCACCGATCAATTCGCTGACGCCACCAGCGGGGCTTATTAGGATCCTTGCTGCGGCGCAATGGAGCAAATTCGTCCAGCAGTTGAACAAGTCCATCTTTGATTATGCTCTATCACTGTTCTTAAGTGGCTTACGCTTGTTCAGGAGTCAAGTTGATCTGTAGAGCCCTATCCCGTAACTAATCAGGGTTGCTGCGAGCGAAGTTTCTCCTCTGTCGAGATCCTGCCGATAATCTCCTAATATTCAGTGATAATGTGAGAACGCAGTGGTCACTCTTACCTATGGGAGCTGCTGCTTTGTTATTACGGCATCTAAGGTTGAAGGCGAGCAGCCAGTGCGTCTACGCGTCAGGAATTTGATATGCTAGACAATGGCATTCACATGCACCTATTCCACCAATCCTCCTTTCAAGTTATCTACATTGCTGGCGGCATGTAATTGTCGAGTACTCTGGCAATGTTTATGCGCTTATGGGAGGTTCTGTAGCTGTAGCTGAAGTCTATGAGGCTGGGGTCTGTGGGAACTGGATTAGTATTGGGGTTCGAGAATGGTGTGCGAAGAATCGGTGGAGAAGAAAATGAGATACGAACAGTAGGGCCTACTTTTGCTTATCCGCCACTCTTAGTGGTGCAAACTGAGTGTCCCTTTTAAATCTACTCAGTGGCCAATGTAGGGTGGTGATGGTATATAGATTGATAGTCATGGTTTATTGTGGGCCGCCAAAACCTCGATAGAAGAAGCATTTGCTCCTCAATCGATGTCTTTGAGTCGAAACTGGCTTCCATTTTTCATGCAGATTATTAAATGTTAGCTTACCATTCTATTCAGCCACTAATGCATAAATCATGTTCTTTGGCAAATCCACACGGAAGGTAGATCGCTGTTCACTCTTGATCTGTCAGGTAGTCTCGTCAGACTGTCTTTATTCTGCATCAGGCTGTTGAATGCTCCAATAGGCGGGGTCACTTGTTTCATAGACTCTGCTCAATACCACCCAATGTATTTGCTACTTGCTGACATCGCACCTTGTTTGGCGAAGCCCGAAGAATTTTGTCGGTGCTAGTGGTGGAAGGCGTTACAGATGGATAAACTATAATAACTTTGTGCATTTTGTTTCTTGATTCCTAACCCTCAGTTTGGCCTTGACTATGGATCTCTTAGAATGAATTACTTTCTAGAAGTCACATATCCTTCATTGATTCCCTTTGGTCTAACTCTCAACTGTTTCTTCCCACTTGTAACGCTTTTTTGATTTTGTTTGTTTTTTGTGTTCTTCCTCCTTTCGCTCTTCTTCTGCTCTACAATTCTGGTTTATTAGTTGACACAAACCGATTTGGCCTCTCTTGTCTAGGCGACGACTTACAAATGAAATCAGCGAACAGTAACTGTTCGCTGTCCTACCCCTGCCTTTGACCTTCCTTTACAAAGCGTTTAATGTTTTTCTATTCCACCCACTTCACAATTTGGAGATGCCACCTTTCATCAAGTTCACTTAGAGGAAGTAGAGTAGACTTATGATCTGAACCCAAGTGACCATACTCCTTTCATGGATACAGCTCAAATGCTTATCGCTTGTCTTCATCCTCATCGATTGCAAGTTATTACGATTTATGTCTTGTGGTGGACATTTACGTTGCCCCGTTTCATCGATTTGACCTAGCATTCTAATTGCCCACACGATTGATCCTCATCTGTCACTATAAATTTCACTCACTGTCCCGGGTCATTGTTCTCGCTTTTACTCGTTAGTAAGCATCTGGTTATCACAGGGCTGTTGCCCATTTTGCTTTAATCTGGTCAGCGCCTTCTCGTTTCTGTTCGGTATATTTAGTCACTCTGGAAGCGTAACGTTCGTTTAGCGATACCTTTTTTGCAAATCATCAATGGCTTTGTGTCTGCTTCAATTTGACCAAAGCCGGATTATTAAGCATTCGACTGCTTCTTCGCATGTGCATTTGTTTTTGGTGTTTCGGCTGTCCCTACCGGAATTCCCTTTTTTTCTTCTCTTTGTGGCATCCACTAGAGCGTTGTGTCTGCTTATTCGTCCTTTCTTTCGTAGGACAACTCCCAAGGCAAGAGTTCCGCTTCGTCATCATCATCCGAACTCGGCTCTGGTGGTGTTCCATCCGCATTAGGTTCCTCTATTCCAGCTCACGGGGCCAATATTCACACAGGAATGGGACAAGGTGCTCAAGTTTGCATAATGGGTGGCTCTAATATGACTGCAATTCCAGCTCCTAGCACTCCCCGCAAACCTAAATCACCGAGGTCTCCCGGCCGAGCTGCGCTTTCTGGTGGGGCTAAATCCTCTCCAAAATCCCCCAAGGGAGGGAAGGCCACCGCAATGAACAAGCTGTTGTCGTCGCCACAGCAGCAACAGCAACATCAACAGGGTTCATCCATCATGATGGCTGGTGGCCCTGGATCCGTATCGGTTCCTTCTGTTTTCTTTGCCGGCAACCTCCCACACTTTGCTGGTCGTCAACCGAATAACAATGTCCCATCACTGTCTATCCAACAACTGCAGCGCCCTGCCTCTGTCCAACACTTCATCACCGCAGGGAGCCTGCCAAATCAACAGCAACATTTGGTCTCTGCTGCACCCGCATACATCGTGCAACGGCATCCTGCAGGGCAACTTTTGGCCAGCGTCTCGCGGCAAGTTCCTCAACAGCCCCAGGTGCACACGCAGGTGGCCATCGGTCAAAGTAAGTACTAATTGCTCAGTTGTTTCGCCCTTTTGATCTCTTCTTCTCTGATGCCCTCTTCCACCACTGGAAATTACACGGGAAGCAAGTTGCATCAAGACGTTGAATCTTCGGAATGTAGGCCACTATTCAGGATGAGATCAACGATGAGCCAAAACGGCGAAAAAGAATGGACGCTGCTAGTGAATACAGATGACATCACTACTATACTCTTAATGTTTGCATCGTGGTGGTGAGGTTTGCTGTTGAATCTGCTTGTCCTTCCTCCACTGTTTCCCTATAGCGCCTACTTGTCCAACAGACTCGGAACCACTTGCCGAACCGTACTTCTCTTTTGGACCACTGGAACTGTTTTCAGCGGCAACTCACCTACATCCGAATCATGGTACATTTTGTCTGTTCATTGTTAACCCTGCGTCTAGTCCTAACGTCAGCCGAGAATTTCTCGTTTTTATTACGCCGCTTAGCAGCGCTTCTCCCTTCCTCATCCTTCATCAGATTGCGCCGCGGCTGCCTGTGCGTCTCAAATTCCGCAGCCCATACCTCAGCGTCAGTTTGCCCAGGTACAGTCCCCTCAGACTACCTTATATGTGCGCACTGCTCAACCATCTTATCAAGTAAGCATCGGAGGCTATTATCACGCAACGTTTTATTCGATTTTTACAAAGTAATCATTTTAACTTGCCCTTTAGACCGGTGATCTTTCATCACATGTGATACTCGTTTTATAGGGTTGTCACTGTTTATCACATTTCTTCGTCCAGCTCCTCATGTTATATAAAACCGAAGCCTGCTTTGTTTCCCTCGGATACAATCCGAATCAGGGGTTATCTGATAAACTGATGGGCATTTCAATGTTCTCCATTCTTTTATGAGAATCGACTGATTAATCAAAGCTGAAGATCCTGGTATTAGTAATTGATTCTTTTGACTCGTAGACTGTGTGTTTCGGTCCATTGATTTGTGGACCTTAACACTGATGTCTGTTTTGATAGTCAACCTTTTGCACTGTTCCACGTAATTCGGGGTACGTTTTGCGGACGTGCTTCAACTTTGCTTTATAGCCATTCACTGTGCATGTGTTTGTACACTTCGTCCACCTATTAAAAATTGTTACTATGTTCCTCTACCGACTGAACTGAAACGCCTCTGTGTGGTTCGGTGCTGTCAGATTTTTGCTCTTACTCTATGTCCATGCGTCACTTGTGACGACAGCTTTTAGCAACATACAGAATCGTAGTAGGACGAGTTGAATGGTATAGGTAGAAATTCGTTACATTTAGTCTCACACAGACAACCATCATACGCCCGGAAAAGCACTGTGATGAATTTCTGCCTATACTATTCAACTCCCCCTGCTACTCTTCTGTAATCAGCACGCAGACCAGACTGCTTCTAATGCCATAAGTTAATTGGCGGCTTAAGTTTGGTAACTTTGTTGTTTAGTCTAGCGGCTACCCTGTTCTCTGTACGGTAGTTACGTGCAAGTCAGTGAATAGTGAGCGGCGCTATATCACAACGGTCATCGCCGTCCGCCGTAGCTCAGTGATCTCAATCACGGACTGGCAACAGTCGAGTTGCGGGTTCGAGCCCTATTAGGATCCGATGGAATGCGCACTGCTGACGATTCCCGAAAGGATGAAACTGTCGTACAGTGCTTTTCCGGACATGTGTTGGTTGTTTGCCTGAGTCTAGATGTGCTGCATTTTAACAAATTATAATTCGGCTATAGATGGAATACTACGAGTGAATGTCCTCAGTTAGCGACCGTGGAAAACCGAAACTACAATCATTCGGATATCACTTCGCCTTGCGAAGCATTTGGGCTTTTAGTGCCATCTCGAAACACCCACCAATTTCCCGTGTGATTGTATTCCCTGGAAGCTACTTGGTGGAGAATGAGTTACTGTGTGATACTCCACAGGGAAGATAACTGGATGGTAGTCAGTCCAATCTCAATGCTACACTTCGCTCATTAACTCCCAATAACTTGTTGCTCTTTTCTGACCTACTTATTGCATCAGACAACCACTGAAGAACATCCATTTTTGGGTGTTTTATGTGGTAGAATCGTCGCACTCACGTTGAATCTGTGAGCGTTTCCATCAGTTTTCTGGTTGGCATTCATGACACCAGACACGAACTGGATTGCTTGCCTCATTTCATACAATTGCCTCTCAATTTTCACTTGACCTTTCTGCTGTCATCTCTTGTTGGTCCCCTCCTCCTATTTTGTCGAAATGGTCGAGGTGGTTATGCTTTTAATGGTTATCCAGAGCTTTCATTTAGGTGATCTTCTTTCTTTATAACTGCAGTCCGAGTCTGGTGAATTGATCACGGACAGCACTACCTCGGGAACCGACCTTAGCACAGAAATAGCCTCGGTCCTAGTCACAACAAATCCGGGTGCTCAGCTAGGTCGGGCGCAGCAGCAGCAAAACTCGGCCTATCAGCACGCACAAACTCAGAGTCAGGTTCAACAGCAGCACACAGCACAACAAGTCCTGTTGCAGTCATCTCCTAGCTCAGCGCAACTGATTCAGTTGAGGGCCTCGCATATTCCCCACCCGGCTGCCCAGCAACAACATTCACAGTTGGCAGCAGTCGGTGGTGGCGGGTCAAGCTGCAACTTGACTCAAGTTAGTGGTATCGGGCTTGCGGGTCGAGTGCAGCAACAGCAGCAGCACTCTCAGCAAGTATCCAACCTTGTTTCTGCCCATCCAGTTGCTGTGCACTCAGCAACAAACGCTCAGTACAATGCATCGAAACCCGGATCCCACGCTCAGTTGCATGCTGCAGATCGTGCATCTCCCATCATATCTCGATCACCGCAGACCCCGCAGCCCTACTTGACGCACAGCCAGCAGCAGTCTTCACATAATCATTCACAACAGTATATCACATCGCAACAGCCCAAAATGCATCTCACCGTCCCTGCCGGTCAGCAATATCACTCTGTCCAAGGATATTTGCAAGCTCAGTCGCAGCCACAACAGATCATCTTCCAGTCACCGACCGGACAGAAGTTGATTGCTCATCATCACCAACCGGCCACGGCAGCGGTATGTTCGAACCCATGCGATTTAGGTATACGAGGAAATGCTTGTGTTCCTCGTGGATTGTGTGCTACTTTCTTTGAGATTGTGCGTGATTGCTGTGTAAGAAAATTGTAGCTCATCAGTATTTTCTTGGTCACTTAAATGGCAGTCTCCGGCTCTATTCGCATTGACTGCTGCTTCCTAATTCCCATTTATTTTCTGTTTTATAATGCACCACGTTTTTCGCGCATTGGTGCGTGTGAGCCATATCATGTGCCTAGTCTGGAATATGCGTTACTACACGCATCTTTTGATTTAATGCTTTCTCCTTCGGCGAACGGGTTTGTGTTCAATTGTCTACCTAGCTAACGAGTCGCGTTTACACCGAATTTTTCCCTAGGTTCCATATGTCTCAACTGATGCGGTATTGTTTCTACTATCAATGTTTCCTTTTACGTGAAGGGTTTGTGTGATCATGTGCCCCAACTGTTTCCCCTCTTTTTTCATTAGGCACCTCGCGTAACTGTCGCACAGCCGTCCCTCTCTCCTGGCGGAGTGCTACTACGTTCAGTTGGGCCGCATTCCGTTGGCACAGGTACTGCTGCCACCGTGTGTAGCATACATCCCATGCAGTCACACATGATGAGTTTTTCGGCAAACGGGCCATCAAACCCTCCTACGCAGTTAGTAAATGGGAGCACTGCAGTTCGTGGAAATGTTCTATACCAAACGAATCATGCCTCTGCACTGGGGCCGGGTGTTATGCAGCAGATGTCTCATGCAGCCGGGCAACACACGCAGCCGTATGGTCATGTTGGTGAGTATCCTGCCCCTCCCTGCTTCCTCATACTTGTTTCGTAATAGACCAAGTAATTGACCACCCAGTTAGATTTCTAGACACTGACGTTCTATGAACGCACTGAATTTTCTTCATTCTGTACTTCCATCATCAGTCAACTCGGAACAGTGAAATAATAATGTATTATGGGTAAAAGAATCAATGCTTAACACGTCCCGTTGCTCGGAAATTATGCGAAAATAATAGTTACTGATGAGTAGACGGATTAGGGTATGGTTCAATTTGCTTCATCGCAATTTGATTCCAAGTCGAATAGGTATGCTACCAATCCGGAAAAGTACCAGACGATCGTTTCCTCCTATTGAGACTCGTTAGTGGTGCACATTCCTTCAGTCCCCTACCGGTCTTCAAAATGCTGCCTGGACCCACGACACTGGCAACAGAATTCCTGACCCGGACGGCCAACCACTGTAGCCTGCATGGCAGTGGAGGATGGGTCGGGCTATATCGCATTTTTGTTTCATTTCGCGGTGGTCGGCTATCGTCCCCCGTGGTTCAGTTGCAGAGGCTGCTGGTTAGTGATGTAAGCCACTAGAGGTCACGACTTCGAACCCCAGCAGGGGACCGAAGTAATGCACACTACTGACGAGTCCCAACTGGAGGAAACGATAGTCTAGTGCTTTTCCAGATCGGTTGCTTACCTATGCGATTTGCGATGAACCAAATCAAAAAATAAAATTCATAGTGGAATGAAAAGTCTTTTGGTCAACTCACCATATACATTCTCAATAAACTCGAGATGTTCGCGTGATAAAAGTATAATTTCATAAATTCACTCGTTGGAATTTTAGCAACGCCGTTTGGATGCTATATCTAGCCCGCTGGCAACACAAGTTATAATACGAGATCTGAACGGAGCAATGCTGCTTCATCAAGTCGTTTTATGTATCGCTAGCTTAGGGACAGCGATGACTTAAGTTCGAATGGCGTTCCAGCGCTGACACACTCGAGGGGAGAAGAAATTTCTACGGCATTCCAGGCGGCTGTAATGTACTGTCAGCTTCGATGGATGACCTCTTACGTAAGTGTTGTGGTTCAGTTCCAGAGCGGGCGGCAAATGTGGGTTGGGTTCCTCAGGATCTGGTAGACTATCATGAGGTCACCCAGCAAACACCGATATCGATTGCTACACTTCCCTAGGAATTTCAATCTAAGCTGATATCGTTGATAGAAGAGGCTCCTATCGTTATTGGTTACCCTTCTTTGAGGAGTTCCTTCAGCAACGAGATTCTGTTCTTGCCATGCGTGCGTCGATTGGATGGCTTATCCCACATGGGGTCGCACATAAGCGTTCAGGTCAAGTCAAAATAGACTTTATGAACCCAACTTGGAACACTTTCAGCATTTTTACACTAGGAATGCGGATGCAGTGAGGCATAACGTTGACATGAAATCGCAATCAGATCGTAATGATGAGAAAACTTACACGCACATCACCCAGTTATGCGTTTACGCGTGGTGTTGCCAGTTCCTTGGAGCCTACAAGAAAACGGGGTAAATACCGTGATGTGCATGGAAACGAAATCCTAGATTTAGCATGCTAGGCCAGCAGTTGAGGGCTTTAGATAAATCAGCGTAAAGGAGGTGAGAGTTTGTCACATACACCAAAATATTTAGTAACGATGAAGTCTACCAGATACTTTCTGGACAATCCACTACACCTGGAAATGAGCTAAATGGGCACACAATCACTGTGCAGTCTTTTTGTAGAAGACCATGAAATGTGATAGGTGAGCAACATAGCCAATGAGTAAGAAAACGGGTAGTCACGAATTTATAAATTCAAGAGCAGGGTACTACAAGCATTTTGTGTCTCAGGGCATAAAATTATACTTTTCGCATTCTACGAAACGTTTCGTCAACGTGTGTTAACCAAAATAGATGATGGGATAAATTTACACCAACGTACTTAACAGTGGATGAATTGAGTGTGTTGTGATCGCAGAAAAGAGAAAGTTACGTCGCGGCACTTGGAAGCGTCGAGAATAAGGGATCGGGACGACGACCACTGCTGAAGCTCGTCCAACCCGCTTTGAGGAGCCGATGATGATTCAGCAATTGCAGCAATGCCCTCTAGGACTATGTCGTCTGCGTACATTTCGATGTATAGAGGGAATAGTGGAGGGGCAAGTATTGCTCCTTGTAGGACGCCTCAATCATCACTGTGGGAATTTTTTGTCGTTTATCGGTAAAATGAAGTCGATTCACGAGGTCATTTTTGCTCAGACTGCACGCCATTCGCAGACAACTGATTAACCCGTTATCTCCCAAATTAATATGATGTGATTTTGTTTTCCTTGTAAAATTGTGTTGCTTAGGGTCCCTGGAAGATAAAAAGTGTTGGATTTGTTTGAGTGTATGTGGGCGTATGTAGATACAGTCTGTCCTCTTAATATGACACTGGACTTACCTCCGATACAAGTATTTATGTGCTTAGCTGTCCTGTAAATATCGCACTGGTCGATAACGGGTTAAGGAAAACTGATCTGTCGACACTTCCAAAACCGTTGGTGTAATCATTAAAGAGGAGTCGAACAGTCTTGTATTTCGCATTCAATAAAGATGCTATAGAGTGAACAAGGTAGGCTACGGCATCCAACTATAACGTCGAGGTCTGTACACATACTGAGATACTTCGACGGCCGGAGTGCTTGTTGACATCTAAGGCACAAGTAGTCGCTGAAAAACTTTCAGCATGACGGATGTACAGGCGATCGGACGGAATTTCGTTGACCCATTCTTTCGCAGGGGCGTTATCCTGACGAGCCTCCATATGTCGGGAATAAGTGCACCGTGTAAGCACTGATTAAAATGATCCGTCACAGGTATGGTGTAGGTATTGGCACACTTTCAAGACAACTGGTGAGAGAACATCTGGCCCACTAGCCTTCCTTGAGTTCAGATTCCTGTGTTCAAGGTGGACTTCGGCGTGTTGAAATGTAATCTTTGGGCCAGAACCAGAGAACGCCGGTAAAGAAAATTAAGTGGTGAAGAATGATTCCTGTGGAGAACAGAATTCAGAATTGAGTTTCTCTACATCCACAGATCCAAGCTGCTTATTGAAGTTTTTACTGCACAGCTGCTTTAAAAGTCCCCACAGGTATCGGCAGTTGTGATTGCATAAATCGGCTTCATGTATAAATTATTCAATCGTGAAATCTCAGTTTTTATCCCTAAGGAGAGTTGTTTGACACGGGCAGTCATTTTAAATTTATGCCCTCGTTCCTATTTCTTTCTAAGCTGCTTGCGTGATGGTGCGGAGAATCTATCTACTCGTAAGTAAATGGTTTCGACCTGGCAGCACTGATCAAAGCCAAAGTTAAGATAGTCAGTGAGATGATCACACAGACATTTTTGTTGTTGAAATCTGTAAACTCAGTAGAAGTCAGTGTTTCCTGGAGTCTCGCAATATTGAATGGTGATCTCGTCGCCTCATAGTTTCGAATGGCTTATTAGCCAATGGACCGGGGGGTGTCAAACCGACCGAACGCTCTGCGAAGAAGGCTAAGGTGTTCATTGCCGGTTCACGACTTCTTCTCTGTTTGCTTCGCGCATCCGTGATCTTCCTGCATCGGTACACCCAAGTCACGCAGCTGCGAGGCCTTCTGCAAAGTGTAGTCTCCAAGCTTATTAATGCCCACCGGTTAATGACACAGGTAGCTCGCCTTGTACATAGCTGTGTTAAACCGGAGTAGGTTCCACATTGACCATTCATGAGCGCAATTTAGTTCATGTTGGAGGAAATCGGGATCTTCTTTGCCATTAACCGCTCGCCATATTTTAACATCATCGGCGAAAAACGAGGAATCGGGGGACCTAGCTCTTGTCACGTCGTTGGTAAACACCAAGGGTAAGCGCGATCCCAGCCCCGAGCTCCGTGGAACACCGCGTTCCACCTCAATCGGGTTGCAGACTGATCCACTACCACTCACTTGAAGCCTCCGTTGTTGCAGATAGTTTGCAATTCAACCGAGAACAGGATTTCCGATTCCATAGCCTATGAAGTAGGATGCAGTGATTCAGGCTTTGGAGAAGTCCACATAGGTGCCGTGGACCTCGACTCTACCATCAGCCACTTCCGTCCAACTACGTCGAGCCATCGGTGTTGACGAAAGCTTATCGTCAGACTTGCTAAGATGTGTCATGGAGGGGGTGCTCATGGATTTGTTTAAGGAGACGCGAAATTGCGATGTTGCCCAATGCCATAATCTTCCCAGACAGTCTGTTACATCTGTATGTGTAGCTGTAAAGCAAGAATCTTTAGTGAACCTTGGAGCGTGTGTGCGATTGCATAACGCTTGTTCCTCAGCGGTTAGCAATTGGCCCTCTTTGACGGTATTCACAAAGCCAACACTATTCAAATCGAGATTCTTTTGAATTTTAAAGACGAATACAAGTTTCATTCCTGTTCTATGTAAGCAAAATGGACCCAACCTCTGAAGTTTGTATCGTCTATAGAGCTCGAGCTGCTTACTTATCAAATTCTGCACTATGCATTGCATTCTATAGCTTTCTCTCGGGTTACTGGGCCCTAGTGAGCAATGTTCAAGGAGCAACCGGGTATATGTTTTTATACAGAATATATAGCTGGTTAATCTTGTGCGCACTCTTGGTCATTTCCATTTTTTATCCTCTACAAATAAATAATTAAAATTAATTATGCATTGCGAAGCAAGTCCCTAGAGGCATGAGCACCATCTTGCTCCGATAGCTGAGCGATGCAACGTTTTCCTCGTGTTTTGCCGCTAGGGAAACAAAACCAACTACCAATGCAGCCATCTTCGTTACGTCCAACTCCGTCCAGCCCAGGGGGCAACACTCTATGTACGAATCCAAACCTTTCATCGTATCACCCTGGTCCTGCAGCTGGTCCCAACAGCTTGACACCTAACCACATTTCACCACAAAGCCGTGGATCTGCCGTTCGTCCGGGCTACCCTACTGGACAACACACCGGGAAACCCATTCACAGCCGTGTAACACACGTCGGGGGAACCACACCACCGCAACAAACCCCAACGCGCCATGGTCATTGTCACCCGATCGCTGCTCCCGCCCCTCCGGCTCCCATCCCTCCCATTGTGCCCCTTCCGCCGACTTACTACGGTCACGAAGGAACTCCCAAACCAACTCGTCCAGAGGAGTGTCTCATCGGATGTGTGTTCCTCCTACTTGGTTACCGTGCCGCAGGTGAATCTAAGCGAGCACTATGGCGGCGTATCATACGCTCTTACGGCGCCGAAGTTGTACTGGCGTATGATCCCACTCGCGTAACCCATCTGATAATCGACTGTCAGCTGGAGGAACCAAACATTGTCACACAGGTGAGATTGGTTTTCTTCAATATATTCTGTTCTTCTGCTAATGACTCCTACTTTAATACCGTGTCTAACTGGTGTTGCTGGCTAACCGTTGGTGTCATTCTGTTTTTGAAAGGCTGTTTGGAAGGCCTTATTTATTGTCCATTCACTTGCGATATAGAAGCAAATGTCCGTAGCTCAGGTTGTTCAGTTGGTGGTCTGAGTGTTCGCTGAGCTCGGCAGTTTGACTGCAAACCTTTCGTCACCTCTCGAGGTGACATCATCAGTGCGCATTTATTTAGCAGAACGGCGTATACGAAGCGTCAATGAGTGTGAGTGATCGATCTTCCAGCCGCTAGTCTGAGTTTGGATTGTTCGACGAGAACATGACCATCGAAATCAACCTCTGATTCTCACCTCGTAGTGTATGCGCGTGTGCCTCTTCGGTTGTCGTCGTTTGATGCAGTTGTTTGGCGTTCTGTTCCATTAGATTTAATCTACTAATTCGGTGATCTTTCATCCGTAGCGTGTTATAATCTTCACACTAGACGCGATTCCGAAATTGACACTTTACTGCTTCACAAAACTTTTAGCCCAACCGAAGGAGAAAGCAGAACGCCAATGACCTTGACAAAATAACGTATTAATCGTCGTCAACAAACACTGTACAACTACTGCGGACCTTGGCTGTATTTATAGGTCTCTTACTGACCTTCGACTTCTAGAAGTGGAAGGTCAGCCAACAAGGTTATTGGTTCCCCATATCGTTTGCCGAAGTGTCAGGTGGTTTGTAGTCACGTGCAGAAACTAGAACAATGCGGAACGTTCGAACTCGATACGATAATCGTTACTAATCGAGTAATCGCTAAAATAGTGGATTTCCTAGGCAATTCTTACTTTCTCCCGGACAGCGCTACGGATGAAAGATCACCGAATTAGTAGATTAAATCTAATGGAACAGAACGCCAAACAACTGCATCAAACGACGACAACCGAAGAGGCACACGCGCATACACTACGAGGTGAGAATCAGAGGTTGATTTCGATGGTCATGTTCTCGTCGAACAATCCAAACTCAGACTAGCGGCTGGAAGATCGATCACTCACACTCATTGACGCTTCGTATACGCCGTTCTGCTAAATAAATGCGCACTGATGATGTCACCTCGAGAGGTGACGAAAGGTTTGCAGTCAAACTGCCGAGCTCAGCGAACACTCAGACCACCAACTGTCCATTCACCTTTCACGAAGTCTCATTGTTCTGGTATCAGGTTGCCTCGCAATGAGATTGAGCTACAACTTAACACAATGGTTTGTGTGACTTGGCGACCCATCTAGATATTCTGTTTGGCACTTCGCAAATGCATTCAGCGCTGTTGGTGTCAAAGGGGTCAGTGCTCCCTCCTGGCATCCTCATCACCAGAGGTATATACGCCTCGTTCCCCACAAGTCAGCGATATGAGACAATTTACCGGCTGTCACCTCAGCTCGATTCACGCAGAGTAGTACCACGTGTATTCTCTGACGATTAAGGAGACAGAAGTTTCCCATTGCTCTGTTATCGGCTGCCCCAAGCCAGCCAGATCTTGTCGATCACAAATGTGCCACCATGGGACTACGCATTCACGCTCTCGAGTTGGACGTGCTGTCCACCGCGTGGTGTGAAACTGTTGAGTCATTGGCCGGTAACCTCACTAGTCATCTCAGTTTGTGCAGCTAAACCGTTTCTATTATGGTCGCACTGTGTCGCTCTGAATTCGGCCACTCCGAGTAACTGATCAAGAAGTCAAGGCTTCTGTCACAAGATTAATGCGTGCAAATTACAAGTCAATTACGTGGCGGTTACTAGTTATTTTTATGTGTTCTTGGTGACCTTGAATATTCCTCGTTATATTACATTCGTTACTTACCAATACCAGCACCATCTTGTCCAAGAGCACCCTTCTGATCGAACGGCTAGATGTTCCACTGCATTTCAGGAGAAAGTGCTAACTTTTGGCCATTGTTGGGTCCACCGATCGGTTCCTAATGCCATTGCAAAACTCATTGTATACTTGTGAGTTGATGACATCTATCTAAACGCGCAGCTCGAGTTATCAGAATTAACTGCAACGGGCAGAACAAATCTTACTGAACTAACTGCGAAGTAAATTGCGAAGTAAAATAGTAATATACCCTTGTGTCCCGGAAGTAAGTGTACTGATTTTTTATTTAAGTGTACATAAGACACCAGAAATTACAACTGATCCTCAAAGTATGACTCTTGGGAAGTTACCTCGTCGTTCCAACGTTTTATCCACTGATCTTAGCGGTACTGAAAGTCATTTTTTCTTAAGGGTGCTAAGTTCACTCGTTAAAATTTCGTGTGGTTTTCCACGATTCGATGATGATGAGCTTTAAACTTAGACTTTAACTTAGGGCGGAGGTAGTATGTTGCATGGAGCTCGGTTTGAGCTGTAGGAAAGCTGTGGCAATGTGAGGATGCTTTTCTTCACCCAAAACTCGAAATGATTGCGCTGAGTGAGAAGGTGCGTTATCCTGGTGCAACACCCAATCATCTGCAGTGTCGCTTCGGACTCGCTGGACCTGTTTTCGTATTCGTTCCAAGACACCTTTGTAGGAGGCGTGATTGTCTGTCCTGAAGGTAGAAATTCTTTGTACACAATTCCACTGCTGTCGAAATAAACGACGATCATCGTTCAGTTGCTCAATTGTTCGCCGAGCTGCGAAATTGGTTTGCAAACGTTTCACCGTCATGCGAGACGGCATCATCAGTGCGTCGACGCACTGATGGTGCCGTCTCGCATGACGGTGAAACGTTTGCAAACCAATTTCGCAGCTCGGCGAACAATTGAGCAACTGAATTATCAACCCGAGCTACCAGTTTTCCAAAACGTTTTAGACGATCATCGTTTTCGCCAGCACAGCTCGCACAACTTCCACATTTTAATCGGTCGTCGACAAAATTGGCCTTCCGTAAGCAGGTTCGTCTTCAAGATTTTTTCGACCCTTTGTGATAGTCTTCTGCCACCTAAAAACTATATTCCTCGATAGAGTAACCTCTTTACAAGCTTCCGTTAAATTTTAAGATGTCTCGGTAGCAGACTTCTTAAGTTTCACACAGAATTCGAGAGCCTACCATTGTTCGACATTTCGCTCCACCGCCATTGTAACGAGGTATTAACACACGACCTTACACCAACTAGTGTAGCGCGGGAAATAACAGCCGATCGAGTTGAAACAAGTCTAGACGTGCAGCTAAGATCTCTACCGACGCGCTGCTATCCACCAATAAGGCGTTACTTTCTCTAGTAGTATCTTGGGAATCAGTACACTTTTGGGACATAGTAGTAAAGTCTATTAGGTGAAAAGCGTCGCAAACAAAGAAAGAAAGACATTTGTTCCGCGGATTCGGTTCAAACAGTATGAGGTCGTGTAACTTTACGGTGCGTTAAAACAAATCTTCCTAATAATTGTATTACACTAATTGATGTCCATAAAAAAGGTTCTTTACTAAGAACTGGGAGAAAATGAAAGTAGGCAGCTCACTGGTTCTACAGGTGGGCAGTTGTGGCAATCCGTCCGACCGGCGTGGCTACGAATGTGAAGTACAGATATACTACTTATAAATAAATAGTAGTACAGTACCTCGATGACGCAAGGCTCGAGGTGGACAGAAGTTGACCTCGCAGCGGGAAATGTAGTCACTGACGACCAAACTGGGTGCCGTTGGTCCGTCTCGCCTTCCGGGCTGAAGTCCACGTGACTCGCCTTTTGCTTGGCTCGAGACTTTACAGGACATGGCTCGCAACCGACACCAGTGGCGCGTCTGCTGCCGTCTCCTAATCGGATTGCCTGTTTAAAGTATGTTTGGTGCTGAGTTGTCTGCGGAGTAATTGCTGATTATGACGCGTGGCAGTGAAAGCCGCAAGAAAGCTATCTCCCCGATGCCGCCTTATCTTTTCACCATAGCCATCTGTTTGTGACGGTATGTTATCTACACAAGGTGTAGGCGCCTTGACCCTGAATGTTGGGTTATGGCATTAAGGTTTTCAGGTAAGTCCCCCTTCTCTCCCTCTTATTATTCATTATTTCATAGGTCCTCATGGTTGTATGGCAGCGAAACATCATTTCAAATGGCTGAGGTACTGCTGTCCATGATGATGATGACCTCGATGAATTAGGAATTCATACTTCCTAACCGTATCGTCTATTCGCATGACAGCTTTGCCGTTGTTCTACTCCGTTCTATTGTTCTCCCCACTCGAGTTTGACTTTTCCAACGAGAGACCATTGCTGACCTCACCAACCACATTGACAAAGAATCCCTGTCAGCATTAGAACCTGTGATTCCACTCCACACTGCTTCTTTCGGCACTAGCGTACTCTGTCTACAGGAGTCACTCGCTGATTTACACTTTCCTATTGTCAACGTGGGTTATTTATCTGAAACATGTCTACACTGCAACAGCGTCCAGTATTCTCTTGTGCTTGCAACCCTCAGGTCCTAATAACGGGGTTACACACACCGCATGTCTCCGGTGATTTAGTATTCTCTTAGCGGCATTTACATCATCAGAGATGCTCTTAGCGGGCGTGTTGGAGCTCCTTATCTCACTTTTACTACGGTGTTATATATATATATATATATATATATGTACGCTTGGCCGATAAAAAATTGGCAATGTCACAACACATGAGTAACAACAACAAAAAAGCGGATAAGTGTCAGTCAGGTAAAAGGTTACGTGGTCAGCGAACTTCCCGGTTATCCAGCTCGAGGAAGAGGGTTGACTTAAGGGACCCCGCTCCGAGTCTTTGCTCGTCAAGACCTGATCCGAAAAGCAGCGGAGCGATTCACGCATGTTGCTGGAAGGTGTAACCACCTGCTAAATACGAAGATCGTTGACTGCCAGGTGGCTCATTCACCTTCTTTGTGTTCGGTAGCAGCCCACACGGAAGCTGATGACCTGCAAGGTTGTTTATTCGCCCTCTGTTTGGTTGCACAAGTGAATGGTCGCTGACCGGTCACATTGGCTTTGACGTGGCGCAGTACCAGCTCTTGTGGTGTTTGGTAGAGAACCAGGTAACCAGCCCAGAACTCCCCAAGCTCTCGGATGCTACCGCTGATTGTCTGCGACTGCTTGTTCATCTCGCCTGCGAACAGACGAGACTTATTCCCAGTTACCTTCGCAAAGAACGCATTCTCCTGTCCGAAAACGAGACACGCTCGATAGCGTACAGCTGCGCAATTGGACTTGTTCTGAATGCATAGATTCTTTTTTCTCAATCTGATGCATAACGCTTCGTTGGTAACTAGCAGCTGTGCCCCTGATTGGTGGTATAGTTGCGGTGGTACTCTATACAAGGTCTCGAAAACATTCCGTTTTTCTATTAGATACCCAATGTAAATCAGGTGGTTAGTTATTGCACGCAGATTAGCTCTGTTTCGCTGATTGTTGAGCGAATTCGGCAAATGTTCCTTTGTTCGACTTTTTATGTGCCTGGTCGTGCGTCCACTGTACCTAGCCCCACAGGAGCAGGTGAACCGGTAGGTACTTATTGTTTGATATTGTTCAGGCACTAACTTTAATCCAGGAACAATAGCAATTTGCTCGTAAAGACGACGTTAAGTTACGCTCCCATTAAAAGTCTTTCTGCTGGTTCGTATCAGACGTCGGGTACATATTTCATACGCCATATCACTCTTAAAAAGGTTTGAGAAACAGCTGTTTCTTCTGAACCATTTACAAGGTGCATTTTGGGTTGCTTGGCTTCATATGAGCGTCGATGAAGTGCACTGGCTAGCCGTTTTCAGCAGGCGTCTGTTTGATTCGCCTCATTTCATCTTCATTTGTGTCCTCTCTGCAAATCTTACGAACGCAGTGTCAGTGTATATACCTGTTTTCTTGCGGCTAAAGGGAGCGATCTCTCCCAGGCAGTGGTGCTCTACCTCACTGCTCTTGTTATTATACGCCGACTCTGCGATGGCTGTGGAGCCATGTGGCGAACCATTCCATTCTTTCTGCTCTGTAATGCACTTACAATGGCCATCCTCTCCGCCACGTGATTATTTAAACTAATCAATCAATGCAACCAATAGGTGCTCTTCACCTGAATGCGTGCAGCATCATCTCCTATCGCTTGGTTTTTGTCAACTGCTCTCTCATGAGTGGCTATGCCCATGCCTGTTTAGCCGGATTCCGGGGTTATCATTCTTCCTCTGCCACATCATCCACATCCCGTGATTCACCGGTTAAAAGTCACCATGAGCCACTACTCAAGGTTTCGCACATGCACTTTCTCAGCACCACGGGAAGCTCCAATTCGTCTAGCTCAAAGCATTCTGGCAGGAGTACTGTCGATGTAGTGCCTTCGTCTTCCCCGGATCGATTAAGATGCACTTCCTCGTTTAATCAGTACCCACAGCACAGATGCATTGATCCCATAAATTGCACTCAGACGTCCCGTAGGCAGTACCGTCTGCTCAGGAGCACCTATGTGTTATCCTGCCTCCCACCGTTTATACATTCGGAGCAAGTTTCCGACCGTGAACTACTAACCCGACGTCTGGACACTTATTTCTATCGGTATCCACATCAAGAATATGGTTCGAACGCAAATGCCTTTTCAGACTCCAGATTAATCCGGCCATCTGAATTGGGATCTGAAGTCACTGTTTCAGAGAACAGCACAAAAGCGAAAACAGCCTTTCGGTGTTCAAAGACCAACTCCAGTTACAGTAGTGGTGTGCTGATGGAAACGATCTCTTCCAGGCGGTTGTCCTCTACATCACTACCCTCGTTACTACACGCTGATTCTTCAGTGACTGTGGAGTCATGTGCTGAACCATTGCGTCCTTTCTGCTCTGTAATGGATTTGCCTCATTCCCACCATATGCCTTGTCGTACACCCTGTACTTTCACCGTAAACACATACTTGTTACCATCCGCTACCACTGGTATGGTCACAAATTTACCATTGGATGCTATATCTGCATCTTGCCAAACCTCTCTGTTTGAAGAAATCGATGAGCTCTCTGTGTTGCCTGTTCAACCAGTCGGGCCATTTTTACATCCACCAACATATTCCGATCTCGTGGCGTCGCGTGATAGCACCCATTCGTTGACCGGATTGACCTGCACGTCTTCCCGCTCTATAAATTGCTCCCCAGATCGTGTGTCACCCACTAACGCACCAGAGTCACCATATATCTACCTGGATGAGTCTCTTCACACTGATTTGCTCCGTGCCCCAGGTGGTTCTGCCTCTTCGGTAACCGAATCACTCGAACACGCTTTTCCTCTTTGTGATAGTATACCTCCCAAGAGAAATCAACTCTTTACTTCGCTCCTCACGTCACATTCACCTGCTACTCCCACTCTGACTTTACCTTACCCGCCTAGCGCCGATTCATTTTCTACCGTTCACTCTCACGAAGCTCCTGACTGGCCTCCCGCTCCGTCGGATGTATCGAGCGATCATGCCATTGCAGACGTTACTGCTCATTCACATATCAAGGACAACAATCAATTTCGTGTTTGTCGAAACGTCGTTAATGTTTTGATCACACCTTGCGCCTCCTGGTTTTCTTCGTCTCCAACTCAAGTCTCTCCGCCCACTGAAGTACTCCTCGAGTATTCTCCATTGGTCATCAAAGATGAAGAGATGTTGTCGAGTGTGTATAGGTCAAAACCCACTATCGGTTCTTCTGCTAATGATAACAATTTATATCCTCGAAATGTCGTTTCATCTGCGTCGCATAGCCATCAAACTTTCGATACACCTGAATCGGTAGATACTTCATCTGTTCACCTTCGTACTTCATCAACGAAAGCGATTCATTTGCGGGGCGTCCTGAACAGTGGAGATGGTCCAGACTGTTGTCCATTGGTTGAAACCGACCCCACTAATCACCCTGTCATTCTTAACACACCCACTGTGGATTCAACGAGGCTTTCTCCCGGGCTGTTGCCTCCACAGAGGCGAAAGGTAATCTGTTCTCCCATCTTTGCTCAACGATCATCCGGGTCCCTAAGAAATCGTTCTCGTACCCCTCGGCAACCAGCCCCCACATCTTCTGAAGTATACGCCTCGATACAATCGAAATTTTTGATTACAAGCTCACCTCAGCTCCATAAAATTCATTCAGGCTCTTTGGATTGCGTCTCATCGAGACGGTCTCCTCCTCAGTCAACAATTCTCTCCAGATTAGGACATTCTGGGGATGGTGAACCACCCACAGTCTCTCATTTATTTTCGGTCCCAGACATTATTGGCTTGAGGAATTCAGTCTCCAATGTAGGTAGTCCCCAACCCCCCACACAGCATAAGGGCTTATGTGGAACCCAAGGCCGACCCACTGACCGCCGCCTGTATCGAATTCTTCAGCGATACCCAGGCTCCCGTGCCGATATGCTGTCCGAAACCCAGCATGTGCATGGTACGGATCTGGCTTTTGTAGTGTTGAGCACCACCTCGTGGCATCATATGTTGTGCTTGGTTCGCGACGTGGATCGATGTTTTCCCCATTGGCATCTCGCACGCCAGTTGCACCGAAGAACTGCGTAGGAACAATTTTTCAACGCGTTTTTAACGCAACTTCCACTTGTGTCGCGCTGTATCTGACAACCATACTACTGGCTTGCGCTTCATCAATGAGAATGATATCTTTCGCCACTTGCCTTTTGTGTACGAGGGTGCATTTACCTTGGTTTTGAACTGGTTTATCCTTCTTGATTTGCTCCGGTCTAGTGGTAGTGGTGACCTGTTCGTCTTTACTCGCCTCACGACGCATCTGCAGTCAACGTGACAGTCGTCATAATCCGACTGCAATTCACAATTAGCTGTTTGTGTGTTTGTTGTGGTACCTCTGCGGGGCCCCACTTTTGACTGGTTGTAATCCAGTACCACTACTTTGCTTGCAAAAACCACTTCGTTAGCACTGATCCTAAGTTGACTATACTCTCAGACGCGGATTTCGTCCCGCCTACTTGTTCAGGTTGATGGGCCTGAGTGGTTCACTACGCAGTGTCAGCTTACAAATTACCCAGCCCAGCCTACGTCCTCCATGGCTCAGTGGCTTAAGCTGCTGGCTAGTTGGCATCTGCCTCAACCGGTCATGCGTTCGATCTCCAGTAGGGGACCGAAGGAATACGCACTACTGACGAGCCCCGATAGGGCAAAACGCGTCTGATGCTTTTCCGGACTGCGTTGTGCTATGTAGCTTGTGAACTGCTGGAACAAAACATAATTGCAATGTCACCTCTCAATGCACTGACGTACACGGGGTTGCGTGGCTAAGTTGTGACTTGGTCAGGAGGAATAAACGCCCTTCGAAGTTGTCGTCCCATGATATATATACATATATATATATATATATATATATATATAATATACATATACATATACATATGTATATATACATATATATATATATATATATATATATATTGAACGCTTAACCAACAGTACATTTGGCAAGGTGCCACAACGTATGGACAACGATAATACATCAATGATAAAAGTATTGGAGGTTACGAAAGATGTGTAGAACTGCAGTTATGTGGTATAGTCTCACAAAATGTTCGCCATTACTCACGGTTTATTGACATGTCCGATAGAGTTTCCAGCCAAGTGTGCTAGTGATGCTCGAGCCCCCAACCACATAGTCGAGAGCGCCCGACCGCGGCCAAATTTGAGGTCAGTGCCTTCATACTTTTGACCAAAGTCATTCGTTGGCCACTTTGTCTTCGCTTTCAGCCAGCTTCTCTACGCACAAAGAGTGCACGGGGAGGCAAACGCTCAGTAGACATGCGAAGCACATGCCTAAGTCACCGAAGCGTATGCAATGAATTATGAGGCTCAGTGGCGGGCAAAATATGTCTGATCTGAAAATCCTCATTACTAATGTGATGTTGCCATCATACACAAGAAATGCTCCGAAGGTAGCGGTGATCAAAGACGGACAGCCTCTAAACCTCCTTTGCACGAAGAGGCCAAGTCTCACAACCGTAAATCAGGACCGCTCTCACCGTGGCATGTAGACTTAGCTCTTCAGTTTGCGTCGATGCCAGAGATGGGGAAGATTAACAAACGCAACCCGGGCCTTGGAGAGGTGCAAAGAGATCTCATCCGTTAAACCATTAGCGCAGATGCAGCTTCCGAGGTAAAAGAACTAGTCTACAACTCTCAGCAAATGACATGAAAGGGTAAGGATAGGGGCAGCACCTAGCCAGTCCTGTAGAACGATCTTGCACTTCGATAGTGCGAACGTCATTCCAAATTTGGAGCCTGACACCGACCTTCACAGGACATTTCGGGCGGCCTGCAAGAAATCGCAAATTACGGCGATGTCGTCTGCATATTCCAAATCCCGAAGTCCGTCCCCCGGAAACAGCTTAACGCCGCTGCGTTCGCAGTTCTCCAGAATGCTCTCCAGGATGTCATCTATGTCGAAATTGAACAGGAAGGAAGATGTTGGATAGCTCTGTCTTACGCCACTGATGAAGCGTAGCGATAGTTTGCCGTACACCCGCACTCAGCCCGAGGTTTGAGTGTAGATTGCTCGAAACATGTTGACGTACTTCTCAGGCCCTTCCCTTCTCAAGAGAGCAGCTTGGTCAACTGCATCAAACACTCGTATGTTTAAGAAGACAACAAGCGTTGCCAGACCGAACGTTTGACGACGCTAGAGTATTTGGTGTAGAGCAAATATGTGATCTATACCACTCCGGCCAGAACGAAACCCGGCTTGCTGTTCGCGTATGTTCTTTTCGTGTACCGGGCTGAGCCTCTTTAAAACTAAGGTGGCGAGCAGTTTAGATGCAACGCGGATGCCACCAATCCCTCTGTGGTTCGCCCAGTCTGACCGGATACCCCTTTGGAAGACGTACGCGATGTCCGCTAGACCCCAATTAGACTTGATTGCCTCGGTGGTCCAAACTTCCTGGTGGAGGGTTAACTCCCGAACAAGTGATGGATCTCCATCTTTGAAAAGATCCGGAGGGTGTTCGTCCGGGCCAGAGGCTTTGTAGCGCTTTAAGAGGCGAAGCTCATGAGCTACACACCAGGGAGTCCTCTGTTTTCTTGAATGGGAACACACTGGTGCTGCTGGCCAGTTAAACTACTGCTCAAGGCGCTCATCCCAACGCACGAGTCTACGTTGGCAGTGGATTCGCTCGCCATTGGTTTCGCTCAAAACTTCGCTTACAGTCTGCTTTTTGCCGTCTGTGGATGGCATCAGGTGAAAAGCTTTCGGAAATTTCCCGAGCTAGCTACCTGCTCCATATCAACGACCCGTCGCGTCCACCAGGCCTCGCGATCTTCCCGATAAAATTGTTTGAGTTCAGCGTTAGTGATCCCGGCTATTGAATGGTAATCAACGCCAGCTGAAATTATCCGACCTGCTTTACTAAGTTATAATGCTATTAATAATGATAGGTATATTTCTCTTTAAGTGAAAAGCTGCATCCATAGTTGGCACAGATCATGTATGCACAGGTAGCACCATGCTCTTGTATGAGCAATCTTAAGTTTCGACGAATAAAAACAACGGTGAATTCGTCGTCAGTGAGATGTATAATCCAAGGGTATGTTACGATTCTTTATGTACAGTGGAACTGTAGGAAGCAGATGTTTTTTTCGAAATTTCAAAGCAATTATCCACGGCTAATTGATCGATTAAATTTTTCGGGAAAATTAAGGGGTTATCAAAAAGTAATAAGTGTAGATGAATCCAAATACATGAGTGAAGTAATACGACCATCCGTGAAACCGTCTCCTGGGTAACTGCTTCCATGTTGGCTATTTCCTCGTTGGGTTTCACTCGCATTTCCATGTCCCATCTAACCGTGTGCCGGTGTGACTTTTAAAGCAGATAAGCTATCACCTACGTAACTCATATTTAGGTCTTTTTTTCTTCCTGCCCGTACCATCACTCGGTTTTTTAAGTAATTTTTTACTCACCAGGGAACCAATGGCAATGCGCCTTACATTAGTATAATTGTTATCGTTAGTAGCTTCAATTCGTCACCCCAAGAGATCGACTCAGTCATGGCTAACATTGAAGTACCGAAGAATGTAACAAATGTGGAGTTTGAAGAGTAATGATAGTAATGATATCTAATAAATTAATAGTATATTTTGCTTCTGCACACGAAAGGTCGATCGATCAATTCGTTCAGGGGAGATGTCCAAAAGGGCTGGGTCCTCGAAATATCGATATGCAACGGTTCTGGTTCCTCGTCATTTACATGTAAAAGGATTGATAGCACTGCGCAATGAGACTTTCTCTCTGTTTTTGGGTTTTCACCCGACGTGAAAGTACAAGAAATATTTAGCATTACAGTAGGATTGTATAAAAGAGTCACAAGTAAACAAAAATAAGCGAATAGTTTGTATCTTGATTGTGTGAGACCTGGACATGGGGTTAGTCCGATCAAATTTGCAAATTGATCGTCGAGTGGGATTTGCGTTCAGTCTGTTCATAAAGTGTTATAGATTTGATGTTTTAGCGGTTTAACCATATGGGGCAGCCGAGGTGTGTAGAGATTAATATCGATGGATTCTGGTAAATACTACGTACTTTGTTTGTGGTACCTGTAGACAAAAGAGAGTTAGAAGTCCGCGAAAGGTTCTTTACTGAATAAAAACGTAATGGTAAGTTGACTCGGAATCAGCATATTTTGTCATTCTCTATATGGCACTCGGTCCTTCTTCATACAACTTAGTTATACTCCCGTCTATGTTGAGCATTTCCCTCACGTTATTCACTATACATTCTGTTAACTGGAGTACGAAAAAACCCTTTGAGTCGTACGTTCTCAAATTCTTTGGTAACTTGTTCCACATAACTGCGTAGCGTTTAAGAAAGAAATTCAATCTCAAGCTGCTTCGTTCTTTTTCGATTTATAACTTGCTGTGCCTATTTGTAATATTATACTTGAGAGAAGCTTGAAGTGCGACTTCGATGTGTAAGGTAAGAACGCGTTTATGGATCATATCAAACATGAAGCTTAGGTTACGTTTTAGTCTCTAACCAGACATGACATTGTCTAGATCGAACTCATAGACAATTTTATTGCCATCGGCAAATACATGTGGTTTGCCGTGTTTGATGACATCGAAGACGCCCTTAATGTCCATCAAAAACAAAAGAGACCCTAAAACACTTCCTTTGATCACGCCGCTTGTGACTTGTCTACCTGTGGAAGTATTGCGTGGTGTTTTGACTGCTTGATGCTGACCAGTGAGGTATGATGATATCCAAGGATGTAAATTACCAGTAATACAGAAGGAATGTACTTTCGATAGAAGATTTCCATGTGGTGCTCGATCGGACGCTTTACACATATAAAGCAATATGATGATCCGGTGCTTACCACTGTCAGTGGAACGAGTAACGAAGTTCAGAAATTGTACTTAACTAGTAATACATGACCGTGTTCTCATCAATCCATGCTTGGAAATGTTGATCCAATTCCAGGACTAGCGAAATTCGACGGTTCTGGCATTTATTGCCTTCTCCTTTGTTCTACGCATAATGGATGTATGGCTGAGAGGCTCGTGTGTATTTGACGTGGGCCACTTTTACATCTTGGTGCAACCAATGCATATTTTCACACATCTGGAACAACCCCAGACTTCATGGATAAGGTAAAAATATTTTGACGCAGTA